GTACACTTCTCCCATTGCAAATGTGATTTAGACCCACTAATTTCACAGTATCACGAAGATGATAGGTATGTTGGCTTTTATTTTAATGTAATTGCTTGCAGAACTTGAAAGAAAAAAAAAAAAAAAGCATAAAATCCAGGTCACAGGCTTGTTTAGGTGTGCTATGACCTTTGTTACAACAATTTGTTTTTAGAACTTCTGGAGCTACAGAAGTGCTACAAAATCAGCACTTTGTTCTTTTCCTCTTTTTAAGTACTTTATTCAAAGCTGGTTTACTGACAAAGTGGAAGTGAAAACATGACCAAAGAGCCCAGGAGTAAAGGTCATTATTTTCCATAATTTCAACCAGATCTCTTCATCTAATATAATTCCTTACTGTTGATGAAACTGGTGGACTGAACTCCTCACCACCCACAAAAACGTTAGTTGTGTATGTATTAGCTTCCTCTAGTATAAAAGAAGGAAAAAGGACAAATCCTTCCTGCAGGAAGGATGAAAAAGATCATTATAACATATACACCACTACAAGTTTTTACAAAGAACTTCTCTACAGAATGCTGTACAGATTGCATCAAAGAGGTCTCATTCTGTAGCTAGGTCAAAAGCAAAGGAAAAAAACATAAATGAGGAAACGAGGAGGCATCACTGTATTCTTTGGACTTAAACCATACTCTAATAAACTCAGTAAAGAAAATTCCAGTCTCCTGAAAGACCTCTGAAAACTGATTAAAAAATTATAATGTTTTTTAGATTTCAAAGACCCCTAGAGAATCCAGCTATAAGTGATTATGCCTCTCTCAAAATGAAATGCAGGCACCTAGGTTACTTAGATGACACCTTTGAAAATTCTACCTTAAATGAATTCTTAAAATCAAACTGTATGCCAGCAAAGCCAGATATCAAAGGCAGGTGGCAAGCCTTAATGAAGTATCTACTCAAATTCAGGCCATGTTTTAGCAGCAAGCATTCAGGTGGATTATTAGAAGTGGGTGCTCTTTAATCTCTCTTACCTCCTGGGAAAAACTGGCATTTAAAAAACATTAGCAACAGCAATCACAGAAGGGGGAGAAGTGTTCTCTCTGAAAAAGCCAGTTGTTCTGTTTCTCCATGAGATGTGACATTTTCAAATGTTCTGCCTGTCATATCTGAGTACATTCAGTTGAACTGGACAGCGTCAGGCTTTTGACTCTTAACTTTTCAGGGATTTACATCTGTATTTGAAAACTCTGCTAAATTTCCTGAAGAAAGGATTTTTTAATTGTTCACAGTCTAATATATTTCTGGAAATGAAACAGAGCTCCCTGCCCTGACTCTCAATGAGTCCCCAGAGTCCAAGGAAGTTGAGGATGCCCAAAATACATTTTGCCACTGACAACAAGCCCAAACATTCGGGTTTCACCCACCTAGCAGCCCTGACATGGAGCAAGAGCCTTGACAATCATTCCCACTCTTCTGTCAGGTTTATTCAAAGCTTGTTTACTCTGGGGCTTTGGGAAATCCTCGGATTAGCAATTCTGCACGAACAGTGTCTTGGCTTGTAGACAGAGGACCCCAGGCTCTTCAACAAACTGGCCAAAAAATCAGAAGTTTCTGCATTTTAAGACATAAAATGAAACACTCTGTTTCTTTACAGATGCACTTTTACAGTCAAACTCTGTTTCAAATGCTTGAAAACTTTTGTATGGTTCCATTAAGCATGGGTGTGATGGGATGACATAAATGTTAAGAATAACACAGTGCATGATACTATATAGTAGGTCGTGGAAAGGATGAGAAAGCCTCACATGACAGCGGTCATCTCCGAGGGTAATAAGAAAGTATTTTTCATCACAGGATGGGCATATATGACACAGAGGACAGGACGGGCGCAGATAACACATATCACAGGATGGGCAGCAGCTCTTCACTCTAAGAGGCAATGCACATTCCCCATTGTACTAGTTCAATGTGTCTAACTTTCATTTCACAAGAACATAGAAAAAGAAGATATTGTCACAATGGATGTGTTGCTGAGACACTTCAGTCTCCCAAATTAAAAAGGGTTTTCTCTGAGAAAAGACTGAACTCCTTCCCCACAAGACAGACTCATTTCATTGCCTGATCATCTAGTTTGACCCCCAGAATAACAAGACAGGAATTTCCTGGAGCAAATCCTGCTTCGGAAATATAATCTATGCTTGAAAGACATTCTATCTTATGCACACAGACACTGTATACATAAAATCAATATACGCCGCACAAAGCCAAGCATCATTCTAAAACTTCAAGTAATGGAAAAATAATAATCCTTGGAAACCCATTCCAAAGATTAATCATCACTATTCTTAGGAACATGTATCTCATTTCTGGATTGTAGTTGTGTAGCTTCTTTCCAGACACTGATTTTTCATAGTTCTTTCTGTTAGTCTTAGCAACTCTGTTTCAAAAACCACAATTTTCCATGGAATTATACAGACAATGATCAAATCTGACCCTTCTCTAGAATTCCCCCACTATGAGAACAATTCTCACATTTTATCATCTATGATCAGCAAAAGAAGTTTGTGGTCTTACTGTCAGTGTGGACTGGCACTGACAGATTAAAGCCCATCCACTTTAGAAGCCTATCCAAATGAATACATACAACTCCAGCGTGGCAGTACTTTCTCATGTGTCTATCTGTTCACTGCAGAACACTGCTTCCAACTTTTTTAGTGTAGAATTTCTGAGGCGAGAAACATAAATCATGTGTATAAGTGAAAAAAAAAAAAAAGTTATATGAACACTTAAATCTTTCACTGCTTCTCTGGTAAGGCATTTCAGAAAAACAAAAGATTCAGTTCTTAAAGACATCATAAAAGTTCATCTGATACTCTGGAAGACTTTGCAAATGAAAAAAAGGATAAAACTCATCAAAAATCATATATGCACTTTTAATGTTTTAGAACCCAAAATCAGGAACCAACCATTGGATTTTTCAGATTTTTTAACAGATTTCCAAAAAACAGAGATTTACACACAAGAAGTATTCTATATTCATAAACAAAACTTAAAAGCCTATTGTTATCTACACAAGATAACTATCCAAATATTATTTGAATAATTTACTCCACAAATGTTCACAAGTGGGTTGAAAAATTTCTTATGCTTTCTTCTAAGCACAGAAACTGCCTTTTTGAAGTTCTACTCAATTCTGTTGGATGATATTGCGTGATGTGAATCCATAGTGCCTTGTACAGAAAGAATATATGCAACTTCAAAAGACCCACTCAATCACAGAACACTATTTGCTTGTATGCTGTTCTGGGAAATAAACAAACAAACAAACAAAAAACTCATTCTGTTTAACAACATGTACAGACAAGACAGATACAGCTCAGTAACCTTCAGAGAACAGATTATGCGTGTATGAAAATTAATAAGAAAATGAATTTTCAGATTAGTTTTTTGTTTGTTTTTAATGCAGCACTCTACAGAATTTTGAGCTATGAAACAAATACATTTTTAATGAATTCCCTTCTGAAAAATCTAAGGGTGGAATTCTATGTCACTGATGTAGTAATTGGGTGTGTAGTAGCACCACATGATAGATACTTCTTAGGAACGGTATGGATTTCTAACTTTATTTTTGTCCCTAGAAGTTTTATTTGTCAATGTTTGAACCAAACTCTATCAATAAGGCAGTAGTAAGAATGCTGTTTAATTGAGTATGCATAATGTTATTAAAACAAAGCATTTTTTGAATTGCTCCACAAATATAATCAGGGCAGAAATTAAAAAAAAAAAAAAAAAAAAGGGGGGGGGGGGGGAAGCTGTTTAGCTGTTTCTTTCTCAAACAGAACCATGGTGCTCACTACGGATAAAATGAAACCAGAGCCACAGGAAGAGCATAAAATTTATTTTACACCTGTAAATTTATGCTTATGTGGTACTGTTGTTGACAGCATATAAGGTGAATTTCATCTTTTAACAGCAGTTCTTGGCCCTAAGACAACAATGCAAACACTCCTACTTTAATTTTGTAATATGTTACCATCAATTTTCTCTTTATAAAATAAGCTATGCAACAAACAGAAACAATTTAAATGCATTATATTTGAGTAAGAGGGCAAAAAAACAACGATATTCTTACACCTCTTTCTTTTCAAATTGTTATTACCACATCTTATAAAGCTCCTGCTAAAGGGGAAAATAATATTTTTTCTGCTTTGATCAAAGCTTATCTTACGACAGTGCTCAGTAGGACCTTTATTTTTCTTTAGTAAGAGTTGAAGTACTCGATGGCTTTGGTACTCAACAGCTCTATTAAATATGAGTTTCTTGGCCCAGAATATGTCAATCATTACTTAATATATATAGATAACGGAGCAAAGAACACTTCACATGATCTTCCAGTCAGTAGTTGGTAGCTACACTGGAAGCAACCCCTGGTGATCATTTTCGCATCACTTAGCCCCCTTAAAGAAGCATTTTTAGCATAAACTTATTCTGCTCATTCTAAGTATCTATTTCAGGATGTCATATGCCTTATGAACACCTATGCACTTCTATTTTAAAAACTGCGCAGTAGATATTTACAGAAGGTTTGAAGAAACCAGTTTGTATTTGCTCACAGGAACGTAGCTTGTTGTAATTGTTAAACATGAGCCAATTGTTATGTATGCGCCTATTGTTATACACATCAAAGGAGCCTGGGCAGCAGAGGACACGTCACTCAGTCGGCTGACCGGAGCATTCCGGGGAACTTCCAGAAACTCAAACACAAAAATAATCTTTTTCTTAGCCAAGAACTTGAAACTTCATATGTAATCATACTTGTTTCTACACAAGCCCGGTGGTTTTAATGCATATGCGTAAATATTCTTTGTAAATTAAGCTCACGTGTTCCAGTCACGCAACAAGCAAACTTCCTAATTACATCTTTCCCTATCACCCAGTCCCTCTTGAGGGGACATCTCAAAAAAAAAAAAAAAAATTACAAGAACCGCCAAAGACCGGGCACCCGCCGCAGCCCGACCACTCAACCCCGCGGCGCGTAGCCGGCGCCGCCATTTTCTCCCTCCCCCTCAGCTTCTTCTTCCTCCTCCTCCTCTTCCCCCTCCTCTAGCGCCTGCGTATTCGCTGCCGCCCTCTTCCCCTCTCTCCCCGCTTCCTTCCTTCCCCCGACGAAGCTTCGTGAAGATTCCGGAAGGCTCCGGCCGGTTCTTTTCTCTGAGGCACCCGAGCCGCCACCGCTCCGCCAGGCTCCCGCTCTTCTCCCCTGCTACCCAGCGCCGCCGCCGCCATGTCCTTGCTGTGCTACAACCGGGGCTGCGGCCAGCGTTTCGACCCCGAGACCAACACGGAGGGTGAGAGATAGAGGGGGGGTCCCTCATCGTGCCCTGATGCGATTGGGAAGGGTGAGGGGGGGTCTGTAGGGGAGATCTGAGGGATCCCCGGTGCTCGGTCCCGGTGTGGAGCTGTCCCGGAGCCCTGGGCACAGCCAGCAGCAAGCAGTGACAGGGCAGCACCCAGGCTACCTCTGCATCCCCCGCCGCCTGTCTGCTGCCGCAAGCTGCACCTCCTGGCCTGCTCCTCTCATGGGGAACTGATATTTGTATGTGGTGCTTCGCCTCACTAAATTTAGGGGTGAATTCCAAGAGGGCTGGGGGCAGCTGGACAGCAAAACCTGAAGGGCAACGGGGAGCCCGCCTGGCTAGTGGCAGGTAACAAACTGCTTTCCTGTCAGAAGGAGCAGCTGATAACAAAGATTCTGCATCTCTTTGTAGGCTTAAGTTTGCTCTTGTCAGAATGCTGTTTGCAGTAACAGAAAGGAAAAGAGGCAGAAAAAAGCAGTTTTTATTACTGTGACACTGTAAAGGTAGACACTAGAGGCCTTAAGTAACAGAAGTTTTTCTTAAGAGTGCCTCTGAATATTTCTGTGGGTGTTGCATACATAGCAGTTACATTATCAACTATTATTTCATTAACTTACAGTACACATACTCATAGCAGGTAATTAAATGTGTCTTATGATCCATGCTTTGCCAAGTGCTCTGAGCTCTTGCTGAGCCTCCCCTGTGCATGCTGGGGGTCCTGTACCTGGTGAAACATCTTCATCATTCCTCAGAGGCTGCACAAGGGTGATCTGAGCTCTCAACAGGCTTGTCCTCAACTGGTTTGTAAAGTAGCTCTCTGGACTGAATTTCTAGAATGGCGTTTTTGCATTAGCTTAATTTTTAGTGACGCATAATATCAGAAGTGTGCTAACATGATCTAGCATGTGTATGTTCTGTGATTAAGAATCACTTAAACTGTCTTTAATTTTCTGATCTAAGTCTTTTCAAAGAGAAGGGCAGAATTGTGTGTAAGACTTGCTAATGTTAGTAACAGCAAAAGCGGGCAGTTTTGGAATGCTTCCACTCAGTAATCCCTCACAAAGTGGATAGGGTTTCTTAGATTAAAATTTTTCATTAGGATTTCATGACCTGTTTTTGCTATTCAAATAACAATTATTTACAATTCCTCTTGTTCGAAAGTATATGTATGTTACAAATTGTAGTAGGCCCAATGTAATTGGCATGGCCCTGTGCTAACCACATGGTACTTGGATTGAGAAAGACAATTTATCGAGATTAAGTTGTGTCAGTAAGTGACTGGAACATTTAATGGAGTTCCTGTGTTCTAGACTAAGTAGTTCTAAAGATAAACACAGTTCTTCACAGGCCACTTCAGAAAATCAAGTTTGACGTTTTATTTGCTGAAGTAGAATGTTTACAACTTTCAGCATCACTAAACTTCACCAAGATCAATGGGATGATTACTGCTTAAACATCCAAATCCCTATTTAGCTGTGCTTAGCTGTCAAGTTCAAATATTTCAGAGCTGGGAGAATGTTTCAGTCTAACATACAATAGGGGTTAAGGTTAATGTGTGTTAAGCACAAATATATATTCTTTTGATAAGTTTTATATTGACACAATTTAATATTTAAGCATAGTATCAATAGTTATTAGAAAGCTTTTTCTTTCAATGAAAATAGAAAATAAGTCCTGCTGGCCTCTGGATGTTTTAGGGTGTTTGTCTGAATTCAGTCTACAGTTATAGATATTGCCATAGTTATGACTGGTGTAAGAGGCCGTTAATCTTCTCTGTAGAATCAGGTGGCTGAAATAACATATGCATATATTTTCTGTAGAAACTCATTGTTTCCAAAAAATGAGCAAGTGGCAACTGGCTGACATGAAGGACTCAGTGCCTCTTAAAGAGAGGCAGAAAAAACAGCCTGAGGGAAAGCATTAAAGGTATGTCTACACAATTGTGACTGAATGCACAGTTATGAAATAACTTGTGGCATGCCTAGCAAAGTACAAATTTAACATACATTCTCAGTACATTAGCCGCTTGTTACATTCACACTGTTAAAAACTTGTGCAGCATCTGATTTGGAAGTTAGAACTTAAAGCCCTTCTGCCCCTTTTAAAGTTAATTATTTTATTTATTTAGAAATGAACGACCAATGAACATTTCTAATCCATTTCAAGGCCAGGTCAAAGTTTGATGCTAAAACAAAGCTTTGAGGTAATACTTTTATGTAGTTTTGAAAACAGGCCTGCTTAAAACTATAAAAGTTTTTCCTAGTCCTTAAAACTAGAGCTGAAAAGGTGGTGTGCACAAACAGAACAGACTAAAAGTGTATGCATTGTGTATTTGTCACAATTTCCTCACTGTACTACAACAGTTCTTGGTTTAGGCCATAATTTAGAACTTTGTTAATGTGGTTTGATTTGGTCCTTTGCCAGAACAGAAAGACTTACTCTTTCATGATTGTTCATACCCTCTTACCTTTATCAAACTTCATGATGTTGTACCTGTAAGAGAAAGATAATTGCAGAGATGATGAAAACTACGAATTTCTGACGTGGAGAGAGGTGGAATTGGAAGAAATGGTAGCCTGGATGTTTGGAATTCGTCTGCCCATTCAGCTTTCTTTAACTTTGGTCCCTGTAATTCAAACTCTGTTCTTATGAAGTGCATCCTCTGATCCTTTGTCTTCCTTGCAGCATTCTGTTTTTCAGCCTGAGTCTTTCTTTATGAACTCTTTATAAGCTCTATGCCACATTTGTCCCGTTTTCCGCATTTTATTCCAACACCATGAGTAATTCAGTGGAATTCCATGATAGTTTCCTACCTTTAGCAAACTCTTGAAGACATCAGCTTTCCCAGGGAACCGAACAAAATTCATCAGATTTAATGAACTTTCATTGCTGCCAGGCTGTAAAGCATACCTTGCAAAACATTAGAGTGTTTCCACAGGATAGCTGGTCTGTAGGTTGTAGGTAGACATAGCTCATTTCATCCTCAAGAATTCAACAGGATTCCATCTTAAATACCTCTGACTTTGCCTGACCTGTACAATTTTCTACTTTAGCATGTAACAAAAAGTCTAATAAAGTGCTTCAACAAATCAACAAGGATGTAGAAGTCAGGTAATAGCACTCCAGCAGTGTGTGCATTGTGAGCCTAGGATTCGTTTGGGTAAGAAGCTAGCGTTTAAACAAGTGAAAATTTGTGGTACTGCCACCTCCAAAATGATCTGAATACGAGAGGAAAAATTACTTGCTTTGAAAAAACTTTTTTGTCCCTATTAAAGAAAGGTATTAACAGCAGTGGAGAGGTGATATACACACAGTATATATACTTATATATACTAATATATATACTAATATATATATATATATGTGTGTGTGTGTGTGTGTATGTATGCAGTAAAAACATAGAATGTCAACCAAAGGCTGCAAGCTGAGCTCAAACAAATCTGAAACACAACATGTTTCTAACTGCTCAAGCAACTATTGCTGTGCGCTGAATGCCCCTTTTCCCCCACCTAATCTGAGATACTGTTACGAATGTATAGTTTACAGGGACAAGAGTTGCTGGGCTCACTGTGAGTGAAAGTAAGTGACGTTCTGCTCTTCTCTGAAAGCAGAATGGCAGACTGCTTAGTGGGTAAGTCCTGCTGCCTCCTTTTGAGGCACTGCCCCAGCATCTTCTCTTGTGAAGCACGCATGGCACTTCTCAGGTAGCAGCAAGGAGTGGGTTGTCAGCTGCTCCATGATGTACCTCCTGCTGAAAGGGCTTAAGGAAGCAAGGAGAAAGGATCGGACTGGGCCAGATGGACAAACGGATGCCTGTGTGTCTGACCTGTGCGCTGGATAGCTGCCTCTGAATTACTTGATTGTAAGATAGGTCGTGGTCTTGAGAAATGATGCACTGATTAACAACACCTCTCTCATTTGAAACCACGTAACTGTCAGGGGGTCAAAAATAGTAATTAAAATCTTCTCATTCAGAAGTACTCATTGCTACTTAGTTCTTCCATGATGGTGCTTGCGATAGCATGCTTTGATACTTCTGGAAAAGAATAGTTGCTATTTCTTAAAAATAAAAAACTAAGCAGTAAAGTCCTTGGTACAAAGCAGTTTGTCTCTATGTACAAAATTTTCTTATATTCTTGTGAGGGTTACCAGCATTAGCTTTTCATCCTGAAGCTGAAAGAATTGGTAGAAGTTTGTGGACATGTATGTAAGTCCTGCTGAGGGACGAAAGTTCTGAAATATTCCTCTTCCAGCTTGAGGTGGGAGCTATCATCTTAAGGCAGTGTGTCTGTCTGATTGCATTAGTGCATATATATAACTGAATATATATATATATAACTCTGAATATATAACTAAGGAAGAAAAAGTTGTTCAAAATCTACATTTTTTAAAGTAAAATAGTGATTTGTCTTTAGCCCATTTAATATCTGTAGGCAGATTGTCAGTAAAGTTATTTATTACTTGTCTTATTTGCCTCATTATTTGAAATGTGATATTGCTTACTCGTGTTTTATGGAGGAGTATTATAAAAATTGTTACTGTTTGTGTCACTTTAAATTTTCTGTTTCCACCAAAAAATGCTTTAAAGACTAGAAGATAGCTAGTGTTTCCCATTATGTTCTTAATCAGATCATTAAAACATTATCTATGAGTATGTGTCAGGGATGTTACATAATCAGAGCAATTATATTACACTTCAAAAATACAAACATTAAGGAAAAAACGAACAGTTACTGCATAAATAGCTGTAATGTTGATAAACATCTGTGAATATTAACAGTTCAGTTAACAGAAGAGGTATTTCAGCGTGGTGTTTGTACAGAACCTAGTAATAATTAGTGGTATTCACATGGCTGAATTGTGTATGTTGAAGATTGGCCTTTGACTTCATGACCTTAAACATCTAGGAATCCACCAGTGATAAAAGAACAAGCTAATTATCATGGATAATTTAATGAACTCTGAGTGTTTCTACATAGAAGGCCTTGATCAGGTGCAAGCAGATGTATGTGATCATGTAAATGAGTGTTTTATGTCCATCGTGTGGCCGCAGGGCCACCTTTATCACATCTCTGAATTACTAATGAGGACTACTGTTGAAAGCAAGGGATGATCTGTAGAAAGTTTACTTCCTCCAGTTACTTTTATAGAAGTAAAGAATAGAAGTTACTTTCAGGTGTCTGTTTTGTGATTTACATTGTGTAATACGGGGGGGAAGAACTCGATTGTTTCGGTTTAATGTATGTACTCAGAAAGCTTGTTCTGTGAAGTCTGCGTTTTCCTTAATAATCATGTGCACCTGGGTAAGTGGTGGAACAGCTCATGACATACCTGAATTGCAAGCATGAAATTTTTGCTAGGTTTGTGATCAGATGAATAAGAATTCTTGGTATGCCTAAATATTAATAATAGTCATTTTCTTCTAGATTCATGCACATATCATCCAGGTGTACCAGTCTTTCATGATGCTCTCAAAGTAAGTATGCAAGTATCTTTTTACGTCTTATCTTTCCGTATATGTAAAATGGTTGCTTGTTTTCCTTTTTCTCTTTTCCCAAGTCTGTCAGTTCTGTTCAGTAATGTCCAGTCTATAGCATTGGAGCAGCCCCATGAAATTAGAAAACCACACTTACTTAAAGGTGCAATAGGAACTGAAAACTATTCACACGATTTAAATGTTATGCAAGTCTGTTTGACTCATGTTTCTGTTAATTGACTTTAGATGTCTCTACAGTTTAATTAGGATCTTAGAATAGGTCTCTGGATATGTTGAGAGGAGTCATACTCCTTTCAGTTAATTCACTTGATTGGAATTTAGACCAGCTGCCTGCATTTACATGACTAGAGCACTAATATAAATGTGACATTTGCGTACTGTGGAAATTGTGTTCTGTTAATCTGATAAATTTATGTGTGGGCTAAGATGGAACTGCTTACCCATGCCCCTGATGGAGCTGTCTTGGGGCTACATCTTCAGTAGTGGAGTACATATACCTGGGACTGTCTGTAGTGATCAGGCCAACTGCATAGCCCATGTTTGTTATATTAAACAGTTCTGCTTCAGGATCTACTGGATACATCCAGAATGCCTTCTGGGAATGATTTGACAGAGAGCTGCTTAGGTTGTCCAAAACAGTACTGGAAATCCTTCTAACAATTTGATAGTAAATGGTCAGAAATCTGGGGTCCAGCCATGGAGTCTGGCACTGTTCAGTGTACTGACATAGATGTAGCCTCAGTGTCCTTTCTTAGGGATAGGAACTGCAGTTTGACTGAGTTAGGGGGCAGGCGTTTTTTGTTTGTTTGTTTGTTTTTTTCCTGATGTTCAGGAACTGCTTCTAGCAATGCATCTCAACTCTGTCCCATAATGTGGGTGTTTGGGGTGCTTGTGTGTGCTGGGTAGCACATTTTCTGTGAGCCAGCGGTCATATTGCAGGGCTTGAGTCTAGAAGTGGCCACAGTGTGCCACTGGCAATAGATGATGGCAATTTGTTTTCTGAAAAAAAAAATATAACTGTACTAACAACACAGTATATAAGACTTCTACCTAATTACAAGGACAGAAGTTATAAAATTTCTTCAAAAGCTTGTGTTTAATTTCTCTTACAGAAGCGCTGTTCTTAAAACAGGTACTGCTTCCCCTCTTCTTCCTAACTCTTGATCTAATTAAATTTATCATGATTTCCTATGAGTAATTTTCTTCCTGATTTGAATTGTAGATAATTGAAAGTGGGCATGGGTGGACATCTTACTTCTGTGACTGTAGAAATAATGAGCATTTTGAGGATATTTTAAAACTACCTACTTAAAACCCAGTGGCTCATTGCTTAAGCACTCAACATGCTAGAAAAGCGTGTATGTTGTACAAACTACTGGTTTCAATAAGGTTCTTTTGAGTTTTGAGATATATTATTCACAGTACCAAGATAATTTTCGCTGTAATTGGGTTTCTGATGTAAAATAAAGTTCTCAGTTGCTGTAGTTGAAGAGAAGGCTATGCAATGCAGACCTCCAGTTTATGGAGGGAAATGAGCAGTTTAAAGACTTGCCTAGTGCTCAAGGAAGGAAAGTATCCTCATCATTTTATAAAGGGGGCTGTACATTATGCCACAGGTGAGTCTCAAGTATAATATTTGTTCATCCTATAACATCTATAAAGATGTTACTTTACAGGATAAAGTTAGATATCTGTTTTTTTTTTCTCATACAGAGTTGGTTCTTGTCATGGATGTTGCCTCATGTTTAATGCATTTTCTGATTAAGGCAGCTGTAACAGGTTTCTCTGTCTTTTAAAAATGCAGATGATTACAGTATTGTCCAAAGAAGGGAATAAAATAATTGGTGATCATGAAGTGCCACATCTTATAAAGCAATATAACTGGTCTGTTGCTTTTTATAAACTGCTTCAAAATAAGGTAATCACGCTTGTTTTTTGTTCAAAAATGTTCATAGGGTTGGTCGTGTTGTAAGAGAAGAACAACAGACTTTTCTGACTTCTTAAGCATTGTGGTATGTACTCATGATTATTTACAATTTTTACACTTATCAAATCACAGCTTGCATGTTTAAAATTTGCTTAATTTTGTTACAACTGTCTTAAATCTTGAGTACACTACTTTTCCTGCGGTAATGTTGAAGTTGTCTCATTTTTCAAGTTGTAATGAATATAATTCATTCCATCAAAATCTGTTTGCAGTCTTGTTAATAATGAAGGGTCAATGCGTTGTTGCTTGATTTTGAAAAGTATGCATTTTTATTTAAAGTACTTGCAAATGAAGATATTTTTCATCATAGTTGTAGGATTACATTCATGGCCAATGTTATGAGTTGGGCTAAAGTGGAAGATGGTCTAAAAATGTAAAAAAAACTTGTGGCTTTTGATAGCTTGAAATTGTGCACACAAAATACATTGCATATCTGTGTGTGTGTGTATATATATATAAAATATATATAAACAAACATATCCTTTCCGTAATAGGGCTGTACAAAGGGTCACCATAATAGTGAGAAACCTCCTGAGCCTGTTAAACCAGAAGTCAAAACTACCTCTGAGCGAAAGGAACTAGCTGAACTGAAACCCAAATTTCAAGAACACATAATTAAAGCACCAAAACCACTGGAAACAATTAAAAGACCGAGGTATTGTATATAATATTATTTTTTTCAAAATTTATGGTTGGTTGACCGAGTTAAACCTTATTTGATTAAGTGTTACACAGCCTGTACAGTGTAAAAATTCCCAAATTATCGTTAAAAGAGCTTGTGTTTGGTAGCAGTGATGATGTTATCTTTGTCTTTACAATGAGATAAAAGAGTTGGGCTTGGGACAAGATATTACTGGATCTCTCAACACTTAACTTCTTGGGAAAATAAACCATGGTGTAAAGCCTCATAATTTAGAAAGCCACTAGCAATACTGTTTACCGTGTCTAACACACATAAAAACAGTAGGGTAGAGTGCGTGCATGTAGATTCCTTAATCTCTCTGGTTTGATTTTATTGTTGTAGAGTACTTAAGATTTCCTGTTGAAAACTAAGACCTTCTAAATTTCTAGGCTGGTTTCTCATACAGAGTACGAATGGGCACTTAGCAGTCTAGTTTGTTGTTGTAAGGGAGATTGGAAAGGAAGAGTCTTATTGCAAGATTGAAAGTTACTACTCTGTCATTTTTTGTAAATTTTTTTTCATGAAGTTGACATGAATACATGGACATTTTTTTAGCCCAGATGAGCCAATGACAAATTTGCAGCTGAAAGTATCAGCTTCCTTGAAGCAAGCACTAGATAAGCTGAAACTGTCATCAGAAAACGAAGAGAAAAAAGGTAAGGATATAGGCAGGTTAAGTAGGTATATGACACTTCTTGTCAAATAAATAAAGATGCTATTTTTTGTTGTTTCTGAGGTAATTATTTGACAAAGACAATATTCTGGAAAGCACTTTTCTGTAAAACGATAATCAAAGTTAAATGTGAACAATGTGGGGGCTTGGGTATTAGGAGCGGTATGTTCCCACGTCAGTTACATGAACTGCTTATTATGTAAGATATCCTGCAATAATGAACATCATGGGGACATTCATTTCTAAACAAATGGCTCAAAGAATTTCCAAGAAATGAACTGTACTCCTTTACAAACATAATACCATATGATGCCTTTCATAAACCGGTGAAATTCTGCTGAACACTAGCTGGTTCTCCCTTGTCTACTTTCCATCTTTTTTTTTTTTTCTCCCAGAGAGCATTTCAAGTTTGGTTCTTTTAGAAACACTTTCTAACTTCAACCTATGTCCATTTGTGGTTATTTTATACCCTTTTGTGCTTTTGCTAAAACTGTCATTTTGCTATTATTTCTCCTTGATCAATTAATAGCAGGAGCCTTTTACAGTCTCAGTTTTACCAAAAAGATTTAAAAAAAAAAAAGTGATTGTAGTTTTGTAATTGTTTCACTTACAGTTATTGGAATATTTGTGTAATTTCTGTTTCTTTGTACCTTTCTGGCAGATTTCAGTGACAAGCAGAAGATAGATGACTTGTTTTTCCTAATCTTTTCGATTCTTTGCAGTTCTCAATAAAAGCAAAATATTTTGTACGTTGTATACTTCAGTTGCTTTTTTCTGTAATATGATTCTTTTTGCAGAGGAGGAGAGTGATGAAATCAAGATTGGGACAGCATGTAAAAATGCAGGCTGTTCAAAAGTAAGTGGTTTGGTGTCACACTTGCCTGCTAAACTATTACGTGTTCGGTTTTGTCTTGTTTTGTTTGTTCCCCCTCCCCCAGTACAAATCGATTGGAAATAGGATAAATTCCATCAGGCTTAACAAATATACATTCAGTAACATACTTTACTATTGACAAATGTGGGCTGTTTTGTGTGGTGGATGTAATAGGTATCAGATGTTTTGGTTTTTTTGAGGTCCATCCTGAACTCAGAATCACAGAATGGTTTGGGTTGGAAGAGACCTTAAAGATCATCTAATTCCACTCCCCTGCTATAGGTAGGGATACCTCCCACCAGACCAGGTTGCCCAAAGGCCCCATCCAGCCTGGTCTTGAATACCTCCAGGAATGGGGCATCCACAGGTTCTCTGGGCAACCTGTGCCAGTGCCTCACCACCCTCTGAGTGAAGAATTTCTTCCAAATATCTAATCTAAACCTACCCTCATTTAGTTTAAAGTCATTCCTCCTTGTCCTATCACTGCACCCCCTGACAAAGAGTCCCTCCCCAGCTTTCCTGTAGTCCCCTTCAGGCCCTGGCAGGCCGCTGTAAGGTCTTCGTGGAGCCTTCTCTTCTCCAGGCTGAACAACCCCAACTCCCTCAGCCTGTCTTCGTAGGAGAGGTGCTCCAGCCCCTTGATCATCCTTGTCGTCCTCCTCTGGACTCTAATTCTTCCATGACCTTCTTGTGCTGGAGGCCCCTGATCTGAGTACAGTACTCGAACTTCTAATCATCAAGCTTACCAAGCATACAATACTGAAGTGTTTCAACTTAAAATGTTAAATAATATATTGGTGAGATGTAGCTTACTGATAGCACTTGAATTGCTCTTGATAACCTGAATGTACTTCAGAAACATCTGCAAAGATGTTCATCAGCATCACTTAATGCTTCCTGCCAGAAGAATCACCAAAGAAAATTGTTATAACACTTCTAGCATTGAAATTAGTCTTTATATTACATGGTCTTTTAAACTGACACTGTTGTTTTGTTTGCTTGTGGTGTGTTTTGTTGCTTTTTTTTTTTTCTGACGCTTGTTTTGTACAGAACAGGAGAGTCAAATTGAAATAGGTATTTCACTGGACATCTGCAACTTTCTGAAAGTTTCTAGTGAAACTCTGGTTGGATAAGGATTTAGAGCATTCACTTGTTCGTGTTAGGAAGAACTGACATAATACTCATTGGCACAGATGCATATTGTTAGATTTGCTTCTGTTTAAGAATCATAGATAATGGGACCACGTAGGTTGGAATAGACCTTCAAAATCTAGTCCAACCATCAGCCTGACCTACCAAGTCCCATCACCAAACCATGTCCCTTGGTGCCACTTCCATACATCTCTTAAATAGTTCCAGGGACAGGGATGCCACTACTTGCCTGGACAGCCCGTTCCCATGTTTGACCACCCTCTTCATGAAGAAATTGTTTCTGGTATCCAGTCTAACCACTCCTGGCACAACTCGAGGCCGTATGTTCAGTTCCTTGTCCTGAAAACTGAGTAAAGGAATGGAAAATCGATTTGTGCTGGACCATGCAACTTTAATGTATTTCCTTTGAAGTACTTTCTTTCTCTGAATTTTCAGAGCACTTTTAAAGGTGGATATCTCTGAGATAAAGTGATCTTTATGAACACTTTTTTTTTTTTTTAACCCTTTGGTCCACTTCCTATAATAGTAAACTAAATGCTTTTTTTTTTTTTTTTTTTTTTTTTTTTTTACCAGACATACCAAGGACTGCACAGCACTGAAGATGTGTGTATATACCATTCTGGTGTACCTATATTCCACGAAGGGTTAGTATTCAGTTAGCTTGATTTTTACTTTTTTTAATTAGTCTGTTACCTGTTACTGCTTTCTTTGTAGGTGTTACCTTGTTTTCATTCTCTGTTTCTCACAGTCGAAAATGGCAGTGATTGACAAGGGTCTCCTAAATTAATGGTAATATTGCATAAGGAGGAAAGATCTTAAGTATTAACAATAGTGTCCTAAATATTGTTTGTTAATTACCTTCTTTGCAAACTTTAAAGGATGAAGTATTGGAGCTGCTGTAAAAGGAAAACGTCTGACTTCAATACATTTTTAGCTCAAGAAGGCTGCACAACAGGAACACACGTATGGACTAAAAAGGATGCAGTGAGTAGCATTAACGTTTGTGCTATAGCAGGGCAGATAAAGTCTGTGATGTTACCCGATTTGGGGGAGGGATGTGTATAGAAGGGTCTCTTTTGGACTCTCAACAGAATTTGGGTTCTGTTTACATGTCTGGTTTTCTGGTTTGAAGCATACTGGATGTCTTGGTTTGACTACTAGTAGAGCAAATAGAGAGCTTCTTAGTTTATAGCATTGAGATGTTGGAAAAAAAATGCAGAATTAAAAAGTACAAAATATTTCCATTCAAGGTTTAAAAGGTTCTCAGAGAATATCTCAGAATTTAATAATGGAACTGAGTGCTTTCTTTAAAAAAAAAAAAAAAAAAAAAAAAAAAAAGCTGTTCGCATGTTGGATGCAGATGAACACACAATTCCTATCATGAATATATTCTTCAAATTCTTGATACTGCAGACATCAGGATCAGTTAACAAAAGAAAATGAAAGATGTATTGTAAGAGGGTGCCATCGACGTCTTTCTCGTTCAGAGAATTGCTACTTGCTTTGAAGATTCATGTTAAAGCAGTAGTTTCAGGTATTAAAAAGGGGGGGAGGAAGCTGAAGTGCTAAGCCTAAAGCAGAAGAGCGTTCTTGTAAAGAATTCACTCATATTAAGAAACTATTCATTAAATGTGTGCATATTGAGATAATGGGCTTCTAGCCGATTGGAGTCCCTGCTTTCTTTGTTTCATTTCTTCCCACTGTCTGCTGTATAACTCTAGTTTTGTAAAGGAGAACATGTTACTTTCATTCCATCAGTGTTCCTGCTTCTTACCATAGTCTATCTCCTGAACACTGTTTTCCTCACTGCTATTGTATGTCAGGGTCCAGTATCTGAAATAAAGAATATAGTTGGTTTTCTTTTTGTTGTTGTTTTATAATAAATATAAATAGAGATTTGCACTCTCATTTGAACACAGGGTATATTCCTATGCTAGCTATGTTTAATGGCTGTTAAAATAGTCCCAGGATTTAATTCTGATTAATACTCCTGAATATTATTTTTTCCCTGTAACCTTTTATTTATATAGGGAAAGAAGGTAGTTCCGTGCAGGCATGATTGGCACCAGACTGGAGGAGAAGTTACTATTTCAATATATGCTAAAAATTCTGTTCCTGATCTGAGCTATGTAGAAGCAAATAGTACAATGGTGAGTTCCTACTTTAATAGGTGATTCCTTTCTAATTTGTACAGAAGCCTGAAGTTAGAAAAATACAGCTTCTGCTTTATTTATGGAATGATGGAATTCCATCATCACATGTGTAAATAATAATAGATTTGTAATTTCATTGTATTTGGCTTAAAGTAGTTGAATATTGTTCTTGCTAGTGTGCACTTTCATGGGTAGTCATATTAAACAAGTGTTAAAATGATACTTCTGTGATTTCTTAATCATTCATTTGGAAAAAATGAAAGAACTTGCAGTAGGTCTATATGGCCACTATGGTACACAGACTAAGATACTTCAACACAATCTATTAGAATGTATTTTACACTTCTGTGTATGAGGGACAGTTTGATCACTTTGTTTGTTGTAGGATCTGAGTCCTAATGTGATATATTTTACATAAATATACTTGAGGTGTCTCATGTCTTATTAGCCTGACAAAATTTTCTGTTGTTTTTCCTTTTTAAGTTAAATATTCATATTGTATTTGAAGGAGAAAAGGAATTTCATCGCAATGTGAAATTATGGGGAGTAAGTATAAAACATTGTTTCTATTTTTAAATAAAAAACACACCACAATACTAACAATACCACAAACCCTTAGCTGCTTCTCTATAAAAGCAGTTGTTTTCCTTGTTGCTTATTGAAAAAAAAAATAAATTGCATGTCATTCAGTAATTAAATGTAAATCAAAATCTAGTGCCTCAAGTGACTGGGCCTGGCATCGACTCTTATTTGAGTGGAAGGTTAGACAAGATGACCTCTCGAGATTCCCGCCAACCCAATTTGTCCTAAGATTCTATCCTAAATACGATAGTGGTGTTAGATAAAAACTCTTAATGTTATGTAATTACTGTTTTATGTATGCATTAGACCTATATTTATATTGTACATACATGTTCATAGCTTGGGAGCGGGAAAGGGCTGGCTTTTCCAGATAAGAGGGAACTCCATCTACCTAAACATCTGATGAAGTCTAGTGATAAGGTACTCTTCTGAACTTAATTCAGTTTTGTAAAGTGAGGTGTGACGTGTTTTCTCTTTCAGGTAATTGATGTAAAGAGGAGTTATGTGAACATGACAGCTACAAAGATTGAAGTTACTATGAGAAAAGCAGAGCCTTTATTATGGGCAAGTCTTGAATTACCAGTATCCAACACAGAACAAAAGAAAGAGAATTCAGATCAATAATAATTCCAAGAGACACGATATATCCCATCCTGAAGTGGTGACTTGCTACTGTAATCAAGTATTTAACTTTTATATAGATAACTTTTTTTTTTTTTAATGCTAGACCTTATGTTCCACTCTACAAAAAAAAAAAATGCACAGTAAATGAGGGTGTCAACTTGAAGAGTAATAGCTGGTTCTTCTGCTCTTGCTTCCGTGAGTGTATTTATTCTAGCTGGAGCGTCTCAATGGGAATTTAAAATAAGAGCTATTGCCCTGTGTTTACAACCTTACTTACTATGCACTGACTACCCAAACAGATAAGCTTTCAGTACACAGTGTGTGTTAATTTTTCAAGTCTTCTGTTTAGACTGGATCTGCTTGGTAGTATGTTCAATTCAGCACTCTTCATTATAAAGCATACAGTATTACAGATCTGAGTTTTTGAAGTGATAAACATGCAATTCCACATCTAAAATAAAAAGGCACATGAAAACAAATGTGAAAGAACACTTGTAGACTTCCATTTTTGTCTGCTAAAACTAATGTTTGTTTCGATATCTGCTGGCTGTAGAGGTATAAAATAAAAGGTATTTTAGTAAGTGTTTCAGTATTTCCCGATACTTGCTGTCTTTCAGGTATAAAAGCAGATCAGATTAAAATAAGAACAAAGATGGCAAGAGGGGATTTTTCCTATTCTCCTAACTTTGATACTTGAATTTTTAAATGTAAACATGAGCGGACAGTGAATATGGCTCAATAACAGCATCTCAGCTGTAGAAAATACACAAACTGCAGAATACTGTAAAGTTACCCAGCTACTGTATATATTTGACAGTCTTTACAATATGTATTCGGTCCTATTCTGCAACATTCAAAACTATGAATTTTCTCAGAGTGGATATTTTTAGGAGGAGAAGACAATATGCACTGTAGGTATCTTGGGAAAATCCTTTCTATGTAGATATGCAGAGCTCTTTTTCCCAAGGATGGTAATCTAGGAACTAAATTTACAGAATAACTGAAATCTTAGGGGAAACAAACAACAAGCTTTAAAATGCCCATCTCAAATCATAATCGTACTGTTAAGCTAAAATATTTTTAAAATACCTTTTTGAAGAGCATAAGCAAAATTGTAATTTGAAATCAGGACCTTAAATTTGTTTCCAGTTCTGCAGCAATAATGATTTGTAGCTGAAAACAGGATAGTTTTAAAGACTTCTGTCTTAGACTTCTGTCTAAGGAATAATTCATGCAGTGATATTGCTTTCTATTTCTGCTTGAAATCGTTCCTTAATTTTAGATTGTAGCTGAAATAAAAATGCTTTAATGTGTAAGTCAACCAAAATATATATTATTATTTATTGTGCCAAAATGTAAATATACAAACAAAAAGCCTTGTGGGCTGTGGAATGTGGTGATGCTCATCTGTCTACCTTGGCAGACCTGAAATGAGTCCAAGAGAAACAGTGAAAGTAGTGAAGGCATTCTGAAGTCAATATGGATTTCTCAGAATCTTAGTGTTTCCAACAGGTATAATTTGTGTTGAGTTCAGAGTTCTGTCTTCGGCAGTACTTGAAATTCTTGAAGTAGTAACATACGCATTACTGAAGAAACCAGCCCCAAACACCAAAAAAGTAACACTGGTGTTGAAATCTGTTTTAGAGCTTCTTTACCTTTTTCCTTATTGATTTGGAGGAAGTGTGGTTGCTTACTCCTTTGGGCCCCTATTAAAAATTCAAGTGCCAAGTTCTGCTTGAAAAATTCCATCAAATTCTAATAATTCCTTTTAAACAAAAATAAATACATTTGAAAACACCACGTGCAGTGAAGTACAAGCTTACAAAAATGTACGCCTGCAGTTGCTCCTGTAAAAATTGTTCAGGTGTTCCCCACTGAGTTCTGAGCCAACAACGGGAGCTTATATTAGTGTAATATTAAGAACAATTACTTCAGCGGATGAAAAATTCTAGATACCTGTAACTATCAGCATGTCATCTGTTTTTTTTTCTGTTTTGTTTTGTTTTGTTTTTAGCGTTTAAGTAACTGCAAGGGAAACAGAATTTCTTCAAAAACGAAATTTAATTTTAAAGCAATCCTTGTGACCCTTGAGTATGCTAAGCACTTATTTGAGCAAAATCTGGATGAATGGACTTTTGCTTTAACATTGTAGACTTTGGGACCCTGTAACTGTTTTTATACTCCTTGAAACTAGATTCTGCTAGAAGCAGGATCAACATTGTAGTAGTGAGTGGAAGAAAGCTCCTGCAGACAATGTCCTCAGTTTTGCTTTTTTTTTTTTTTTTGTGGTCGTTATTATTCATTCCTTCTATTCCTGTTGTTTATACTCTCAGCAGGGAACAACAGATGCCTCAGGAGTTGCATAATAACTTTTCCACCTCAATGACAATATAAACACTTTTAAAATGCACCTATTTAATATATTTAAGAACATGAGCGAACAAAACCCCAGTTTATATCAGACAAAAATGCGTAGATTTTACAAATAGCAGCCTGCTTCTCTATGTCTTATGATGATTTTCAAAAAGTTAAGCTTTCAGATGGCTTATGTCATGAGTCTTGTTTAACTGCATTCTTAGCAGCTTTTTATAACTATTTGTGTGCATCCATCATCAAGCTGCAAAAGCTGTATTGCTGAATTTGAGTACTTTGAGCAGATCATAGTGGTTGCTCAGAACAGTCTTAATCAAAACATGCCGGTGTTTTACAAAATGACATCTTGATATGGCTAGTGGTATCTATTTCCAATAGAATTGGGTTTGACTTTGGCTTTTATTAGTAAATGCAGGGGGAAAAAATATAACTATGGTATATGAAAATAATCATAATGCTTCTCAAAAGCAAATTTTGAGAACTAAGCTAAACAGTCTTGCTCATGTAGGCTGTCATCTATTTAATAATAGTGAAATTAAATTGGGAAGTGCAAAAGGTTATGTACTGGGATATGTGCAGTTCAGTTTGCCACTTCATGGTTTTGAGAGTTGTCCTGTATTTAACAAGTTGTTTAACTTGTGGTCTAGCTATATTTTTATAATTATAAGACTTTAAAAAGTTATACTGTGTTTCAGAATGGGTTTGCATATTACATGTAGACAGTACATTATATGTCTCAGATATGACTGTACCAGGGGCATGTAAAAACTTCACAATACATTTTTAATGAGACAAAAACTGTGTGGGTGCACGGATTTGTAACAGAAATCTTAATCTTTTTCGTCATGCTTAAGCCCATTTTCCTACCTACTGTTGTATGTCTAAAACAGAACATTTCCTGGAGGAGTTGGAGTTCATTTTTAATGTTCACATGCTGTTAGCACTGGGCTGTTCAGATACTCTGTTATATTTTACATGGCACTGATGTAACTTCACAAAAAAAACTTCCATCTCTAAGACGATCTTCTGGAACACTTGCGTTATCAAGTCACCATTTCAGTAGTTTAGGGACTAGTTATATTAGGAATTTTGCCTTGAAAAAACATCTACTTATTCTATGTAATGATGCATTTTTTGCTTGCATTCTTTAAAAATGGCATGATTACTGGTTAAGTACTGTACCTGTTAATCAATTGTCTTTCCCTCTTGCTACTATTTTTTTGTCTTCATTCAGGAAAGAGATCCTATTTAAAGTAATGAGTTACGTGTCTGGAACACTGTTTTAAGGTGTTAATAATTTTGCCACTATAAATGAGAGTCTTGAATTGCGGTTGGGGGGGAGAGATGTCTTTTTGCATGGTTGTTTGATTCTGCACATTCATAAAACTTAAAAGCAGAAATTAATCTCATGTCTTCATGTTCCATTTTTTTCTAAATTTATTCAATAAAATTCTTATTACATGCTGGTTATGCTTGGACTTTTTGACTTTATGGGAGAGGTCTTCCCTTTGGATTTGTAACACAGTTATGAAAATGTGGGCATTTTCCACGGGTCAGTCTGTATACAAGGGAAACTGTCTAAGGGGCACAAAGTTCGAACCATGTTAATAAAACCAACATTCTTCTGTTGAATTGTTGAACGTTTTATTTTCATGTTAGCATGAACAGGAATGAAGGAACCTGCTGCACATGAGCACTGTCAAGTGTGCATTTGTCATCAGTCTTGTGAGTTCAAAGGGAAAGGGGATGTAAAAACAGATCCTTGCCATCTATAGCTGTACATGAAATGCATGAATGTGATTTTCTTCAAATTAATTGATCAGCTGTATGATGACTGATTGTGGTTATCCAGAAAGCATGTGTTTTGTTTTGTTTGTTTTTGCACGTGTGTGTTGTTTTTTTTTTGTTTGTTTGTTTTGTTTTGTTTTCAGCCAGTGCTGCTTTGTGGCAGGGAGCATCCTTTTGAATAGAATATTTAATTTTTGTTACCTACTAAGAGCAGCTATTTGAAAAATTAGTTTCTGGTTAAATATTAGTAACAGCTGCATTTGCAACTAAGTCATTTAAAGCTAGCTGGAGGCAGAACTGTACCTTATAGCCATCTATAAAATGTGGTTAGTCCCAGAACCTTGTTCTCTGGAATGTTTATTTTAAATTAAGCATAAATATTGATACTGCAGTAGTATTACGGAATTCAGTGCTTAGAGTTGAACTGTGCTTCTAGCTTAATATGCTTAACCTAATTTGTTCTTCCTCATTGAAAATCAGACTTGTGTATTAGAGGCACTTGATACTGTGCACTTCCAGACCCTGAGGGACTTTTTAAATTTTTTAAGGAGTGCCTTATAATCAAGTAATATTGTATACATGAACATTAACCCAAAATTCTGAAGTTCTGCCTTCACTTGTGAAAGCAGTTAACATTTTGATTGTTTGCTTACGAATATAGTCTACAACAGAAGTGTTCAGAATTATTCTTTGATTGGAGCTCTGAAAATCAGAAGCCTGTCAGCAGCTCTGTTAGAAGATTTTTACTTAAATGAATTTATAAATTAAATGGAGCTCTTATGCTTGCCAAGAGCCATGTGGTAGCAACTGTAAAGAAGGATAAAATGGAAGCAATGAATGGAGTATGTTTAAATGTAGTTAGAAAATAATTTTTAAGTCTTAAAGGTTTTTAGGTATTTTTTGAAAGATACAATATAAATTGTACAAAACACATTAAGACTGAAGGTTAATACAAAGCAGCAACTCCAACTGTGAATGATCTAAAGCACTGAATATTTGAAATCATAGGGCTTTGTAATTTTCCCCATTTTTCATAAAGGTTCACCTTTTTGCAGTGTGCACAGTGGCACTGAAGCATTTCTTATTTTCATTTTATTTCTCTCCAATAATGTCTTACTTTAAAACACAGACTGTGTCATTTATTGCACCATTATATTGATCCACAGGGCCTGAAAACTGCAGTGCGGTTGGGTTTGCCCAGTGAAAAGTGGCGTAAAACCTGGATGTGGTTGAGTGGCAGCACCACTGAGTGTATGGTTCTTAAACTGAAGCACGTGTTGCTTTCGTGAGTTTTTCCATTTCACAGTTTTGTTACTGGTTCAGATGTAATGTAAATATGTTAGTATTGCATTGTGGCAGCACTGTATGCCCTCATTTTCCATCCATGCGTTTTAGGTACTCACTGTTGTCTGCAGAACAAGTACTAGCCATGAGAAAGATGATGTTTTATCACTGAGTGAGACCTTGCTTATATGTCAGAACTTCTCCATAATCTGGTAATAGGTTTTTGGTACAAAACTGAGTGTAATACTGCCTGAGAAGCAAGTGCTGAGTTCTACAGTTACACTCAGAGTCCTGTGTAAATGTATAGCACTCAGTCAGGCAATCATTTGTCAGACTCCAGGTAGTTAAAAATGATTGATATTTGCGAAAGCAAAATCCAATCAGGCTGAATTATGTGAACTGGGCTGGTTAGAAAATGTGAAAAAAAAAGTAAAATCTTTCTCATACCCCATTTCTCAGACTTGCCAAGACCATATACAAAGTATGTATAAGACTATATATAAGTAGCTGTCCTTACTGATTGTTCTCTGGAAAATTTGGGCTCTCCTTCCAGGTAGTCCCTGAGTGCAGGTCCCTGCTGATGGCACGATAAATACAGCACCGCCATGGCTGGTAGCAAGGCACCAGCTCCTTCCAGCTCTGCAAGGCCTTGGGACTTGCCAGCCCTGCTTTGTCTGAACTGCTCATCACCTACCTGGAGACCCGTGTTAGCTCATTTGGCTAAGTAAACAATTTCATAATGACCTGAGTATTGCCTAATTTATCTTTGATTCTCCTTTATAGCATAAAATATTTTTATATAGATAACAGTAACACACTTTTATTTTATGTGGAGCAACATATTTATGGTCCTTGCATTTTATTACAGAGGAATACAAGTCCAATACAGCAGGGGGCATGAAAGCTGTGGCACAGGGTGCAAGGTGTGTCAGGAAACACGTAGTAGCCCCAGCCACCAGGATGAGGAAAAATCAAGCGTTAACCCCACACTCCTTGTGAAGGGCTTGGGACTGCTGATTTCTGGCTGCAGCTGTCCCACGCAGGCTGAATCCAGTGAACTCAGGAGCCAGCAAGGCAGTGGAAAGGGTAGATACTAGGCAGTATATATTTAACTATATTAACTGGATTTAGTTTTTCTATAATAAATAGACACTTGTTTGGACACTTAAGATTTTAATTACACTAACAGTAAACTTGGCTTTACTTGTAAAGTGTTTCTTTCTGCCCCTAGTAGGACGGGGGGATGCTTGTGTTTTACTCCTCTGCCCTGGCAGTGGGTGACAATGCACCAGTGCAGTTCCTGTACTTCCGCAGGGCCATGGGCTAAGATAATTCCCTCTGAACTTACCTGTGGGCTAAAGACTGAGTTTTAGGCATAAGGTGACAGCATGCAGGCTCAGATGGAAAGAGTATGGAAACATGGCCAGAGAGAAGCAGAGAACTGAGGAAGCAAAACAGTGCAACTTTGTTCAGGAGGGAGGTGTTTTGGTTCCAGGAAAATCAGAAGGGAGAAGTGATCTCGGAGCTAAGTTTTTCAGTGCCCAGTGCTCGCAGCTGACCGTGCTTCCCCAGTCTGATGTCCTACTGCGTATGGGTTACCTAAGGATGTGTTGCCACAACAGTTGCTGTGTCCAGCAACTGTGGCTTGAGTTTCCTTCTAAAAATACAGCCAAGTTTGGAGATAATGTGGATGGCAGCCTCAGGAATGCGTCAGCAGCTCACTGCCAGCAAGCAAGCTAGCAAAGCACATCTGGGGAAGGTGCCATGTAAACATAACAGGTCTATTCTTATCTGATCCCCTCCAGTGAAATGCTTTTCCCATTATCGCTTCTCCTGTTCTTTCCCTATATGGAAGACTATCATACACGTTTATTTGAACCAGGTCCAGCCCCTCCTACATGAGGTGCTTTGCAAGCCAGTCCTCCTCCTCTTCTCCCTCCTACCATCTCCCCTTCCTTCTCCTCCTCCTCCATTCTTGGAGCTCCCCAAGGGCTTCCATCCCCAAAATGGCTGGGCCTGACACTGACTTGAAGAAAAAACGTAAGTTTTCTTGGATGAGAAAGAAAATATTTAAAGGTGTCAGATCCATCAGGAAAAATACTGTTGGCACTGTGGTGAGCTGCCTTGACTTGGAGAGCTTTACTCAGAGCTGAAATCTAACCATGCTATAGACACAGCTAAATTACAGGGTTAAACAGCAGCCACTTGTATTTTACTGGAGATACTTTAAGTCTCAGGGGTGTAATGGCAACAGACCCTTTCAGACCCTGCCGGCATCTTCCAGAATCTCCTCCTGCTGCTGTTTTTCTCAGGATTAATTTAGGGTCACTGTGTAGCTTCGCTCTGTGGATGCTGCACAGCAGCACTAAACCCCAGTGGCATCACTGCAGGATAAATTATTTCTGCTTTCAAGCAATTTTGTTATTTTCAGAAGACCTGTGACTGACGTTTTTGATCAGTATCTTTGCTTAAAGAGGGGAACAAGCAAACTTTAAAGGATATATTTATTAATTTTCATGGGTTTCAATCAAGTGCACATGAATAGGGGAGCAGCAGCAGACCCAGAGGGGATGTCTACTTGGAGAAAAGCGCTACTCTGAGAGTGTGAAGTGCTGTCTTTCCTAATAACCCCTCCATCACAAATGTTTCCAGCAGGGAAAGGAACGAAGCAGGCATGTTTAATCCCTCCATGCATGCATATGTTTTAATTCCCAAGTCAGTGCTGTAGGGCCTTCTGATTCAAAGGTTGCATCTGGATCATGAGGCTGGTCTTTTTATGAGCACTCCTTGCATGTGTCTGAGTCTTTTTTAACACTTCTCACCTTTCACGAGCTCCTGTAGCAATGAGTTTCACTGTACAATCACATATTTTGTGGCTAGTCCCTTTGTACGTGTGAACACACAGAGATTTTAAAGGTTATCTGAAGAAGGGCTGAATGATACAAATGGGTGGTGCCGAAAGTCAGCGCGTACGGCACTGGGACCAATTGTGAACATCTGCTCATGGGCTGGGCACTGCTTTGGACCTTTCTCCTGCAATGCCTTCTCCTTAATAGAGACACTGAGTTACACAGTGTAGTTTATCACTGCTGTACAAGAATGCAATTTTAGGTCAGCTGAAGCAATTTAAAAGTTTGACCTGGGCCCGACAAATTGCTTTGGTTAAATCAAGACCACGGACAGGCCCAAAGGCCCTGTTCTAACAGATGAGCAGTGTAGTTACTGAGAAGACATGAAATTTCTCCAGCCCCCTTCACCAGAAATTACAAATTGATGGTGTGCTTGTACTTCAGTTGTCAGGACACTGGAAGAGCGAAATTTTAATCTCGTTTCACAAAAGCAGTCTCTCAATGCGTGACTCAATGAGAAGCATTGGCCTCACTTAATCCCAAACACTTCATCTTCAAAGGTATTCAATTAGCTTTGTTTTTATTAAGCTTAACATCTGCGAGACATTTTTGAGGTTGTTCAATATTTATTTATTTATTTATTTATTAAAAAGCACAGCCAACGAGCTATTTTAAATTACAGCCATTTCGAGTGCAAAGGAATGTGTGTTGTTGTATTATCCCTTGTCACAGTAGAGAATGAAGCACGTGGTTGTCCACACCTTCCAACCATTTCTACACTGAACAAGAGTTACAGCTATTTTTCCAAAGGCAAACCAAAGGTATTTCAACCTCAAGAGAATTTGTGATAAACTTCATGGCCCAGTTCCTTTCAAACCTGTTTCCAAGGGACAATGAGCTAACTTAATATCAAGTTTCATCCAAGTTTAATTTTGCCAGATTGTTTTGCAGCCCTTGTCCCTATGCTCTGAAGGATGACAGCCTGCTCCCATCAGGGTGTGTGAAAGAATGGTGCAAACAGAATTTATAAAGGACAGAGCAGGTGACCCAGTGCTATCCATTTGTTTGCAAGGAGGGTCTGAGAAATCCCTACACGTTTTGAAATGGTGGGCAGCTGGAGCTACACAGATAGCTTGCAGGAGCAATTGCTTTGCTGCACATCTAACGAAAAGGAGATGTGACTGACGAAAAGCATGGAAGGCAACATCTGCTCTGAGCAACTGATCCTTTCAGTACCAGCAGTACAGGGCTTTATGGAAATCAGTTAGCATAAGCCATTTATACACGGTTTGGTTTGCTTTTAAATATGGATTTGGTAATCAATCTACCTTTAGAATGTAGTAGAGAGGAAGAGAACGAGATTTAAGCTACTTCATACAGTTTTCAGGATGTATGTGCCTTCATAATAGTTACCAATAAAGTCAAGAAGAGAAAGGAAGCAATAGATTCCAGCTGTGCACTTACCCTGATGTGATATTTAATTTCTTTGTACTGCTTCAAAACAGCACATGGAAGTAGCAAGATAATATGCTACATTGCAGCTGCAGTGTCATGGCACAGGGCTGCAAAAACTTTCACTGCAAGGGTATCATAGAATCATAGAATATACTGAGTTGGAAGGGACCCATAAGGATCATCAAGTCCAACTCCTGGCACCACACAGGTCTGCCCAAAAGTTTAGACCATGTGACTAAGTGCACAGTCCAATTGCTTCTTAAATTCAGACAGGCTTGGTGCAGTGACTACGTCCCTAGGGAGCCTGTTCCAGTGTGCAACCACCCTCTTGGTGAAGAACCTCTTCCTGATGTCCAGCCTAAACCTCCCCTGCCTCACCTTAATGCCATTCCCACGGGTCCTATCACTGGTGTTTACAGAGAATAGGTCACCTGCCTCCCCACTCCCCCTCACAAGGATGATGTAGACCGCGATGAGGTCCCCCCTCAGCCTCCTCTTCCCCAAGCTGAACAGGCCCAATGACCTCAGCTGCTCCTCATACACCTTCCCCTCTAGTCCCTTCACCATCTTTGTAGCCCTTCTCTGAATACTCTCCAACAGTTTCACATCCTTCTTGTACTGTGGTGCCCAGAACTGCACATAATACTCGAGGTGAGGCTGCACCAGCACAGAGTAGAGTGGGATGATCACTTCCCTCGACTGACTAGCGTCATTGTGCTACTTTAATGCTCTCTTATGTGCATGCTAATGAGGTGAGCTAAGGTGACTGCATTTTTCAGAGGAAAAGGTAAGGGATGGACTGTGGAAGTGTAGTCTCCTCATGTCCAAAAGGCTTCATTTGTGAAAAGCAAAGTAACAGTATGTTATGAGCATGGTGTCCACAGGTACACAGTCCTTCCTATTTCAGAGATGCTTATGGAAGTGATGCCAATGCACACCCTTCTTCTAGGTGGTATCTTCCCCTCAAGCCAACTTTTCAAAAGACTAGTGATTGGCATTACTGGTTTCTTTGTCTGAATTCAAGGTATCTGCGATGAAAACAACTCTTTCGGTAGCCTAGTAGCTGTTATGTCCACTGCCCCGTTTTTCAATTCCGTCTTTTTTAGTACCCCATCTGTTCTACTCCCCATAAAAGAGAAAGCATTTTATTCCCACAACCTGCTGCAATTTATGGTTGTGAGATAAGCTGTAGTATATTTTGCACAAGAGAAAATACCAGTTATTATCAGCTCCCTCACAAATTGGAATGTGATGTAATAAAATTCTAGCAACTTTATTAGTTGTAAAGCAAGTGGATGAGAAGTACATTTAAAGGGGAAATGAAGCAAGAATCAATTTTTTATTTTCTTTTTTTTTTTTTTACAAATTACACAGTTTTGTACAATTATCCTTCTCATGCGTTTCAGTTTCTCTTTGAATGTATATGCAGCTCCTGATGGAAAGCTGTCTCAGGCCTTATTAGAAAACAGAATTACTCCATAATCTCAAGTCCCATTCCAGTAGTGACCACATTGCCATCCATCTCCCTCAACTGGAAGGAGACATCTCTGCATGAAAAAGCCCTCCCAGGGGAAGAAGGGAAAAGAAAAAACAAAAACAGCCGAGACTGTCATTGCTGCAGTGCTACTCCATTCTGTAGCCATCATGCAGGGAGCCACGAGCAAGGATCCAACTGCTCCCTCGGCTGCATAGCCCAGGGTGCCTCCTCCCACCCCAGAGCCTGTTGACTGTACAGCAGTTGATGAAACCGGAGCAGTGGCTACTCCCTTGGCTACGGTTCCTGGGCACCAGGTAAGCCCAGCGCTGGGGCGCTGTCCTGTGCCTCCCTGTGATGCTTCTGTGGGTGCTGCAAAGCTCCCTGAGGGCCTCGTGCCCACTACGCGTTCTGTGCTTACCTGGTGCCCAGGAAGCAAGGGAGAAGCCAATGCTCCTGCTTCATCAGCTGCTGCTGGGCTGAGTAGATCTGTGCTGTCCTCCCTGAGAGGCTCTGCAGTCAAAGGAGTAGCCATTTCTTCTGGTTACTTCAGCCTTCCTGAGGAAACAAACCTCGATATTCAAGGGCAATGGCAGGGATTATGCTATAGCAGAAGGTGTTACATTGTGGAAATAAAAAGGAAAAATACCAACAAAATGTATTCATTGTTTTTTTTGTTTTGTTTGTATTTATTGTAATAATTGTAATATTGTATAAATTGGGCCAAGCCCCAATTTAAAATGTTGAAATTAAAAGATTTGGATCCATACAAGTCCATGCATCTGGATGGGATTCATCCCAGAGTGCTTGGAGAGCTGGCTGACATCATTGCGGGACCTCTCTCAATTATTTTTCTATGGTCTTGGCAATCTGGAGAGGCCCCAGTAGAGTGGCAGCTGGCAAAAGTTGTACCAATTTTCAAGAAGGGCAAAAAGAAGACCCCGGTAATTACAGGCTTGTCAGTCTCAGGTCAGTGCCTGCTAAAATTAGGGAGAAGATTATCCTTGAAGTTATTGAAGAGCGCCTGGGGGACAGTGCAGTCATTTCTCCCAGCCAACATGGGTTCACGAGGGTTAGGACCTGTTTAACAAATTTCATTTCCTTTTTAACAATTTTGATTTCCATGGGCAGGCACGGCCCGCAGATGCCAGGCTGCCAAGCCCAACGTGCGGCCGCCAAGCAGGCGCCAGCTGCCAGAGGCTGCAGGAAGGCTCCAGAAGCAGCGGCAGCAGCCCGCGCAGGGGCAGCCACGACTGCAGGAG